TGAATCTGTCAAGCTGACTCGGCAGTAAACCATCCTCGCCGCTCCTCCATTCGTCCGCAACGTGCACGGAGGGAGGCAAATTACTCGAGGATAGCAATTAATAAAGCTCGTAATAGCGGCATCGTTCCCCCTGCCCGTTAATCACCTCAACGAGTGCTTTTGTTAAAGGCCAAAACCTAGCCTTAACCTCGACCCCAGTAGCCGAACGAAGAATCGGAAATAAAGAGGCGAGCCGACTCGCCTTCGGGCTGTTTGCTACCCTCTCTGATCTTTTACCCGCCTTGCATCTCAACGTGCTCGCAACAACCTGTTTGCCTTTCTGATTATCCGGGAAGGAAGTCGGCCCGATTAAGAGTTAACCGATGTCTAGGGTCTTTTTCTTTTCTCCTTCAATTTTTCTCTCGTTTATTATTTCGATTGCTTGATTGCATTTTACCTAATGGTAGATGAAGAAATAAATATTGTATATTTATTATATTATTATAATTGTATAATTATAAATAATATCTTGGAACGTGGAGTAATGGAATTTAATTCCTTGTTTCGTAAATGAAATGTATTTCGAAGATACGATTCAAGTAATTTCCCGCCTTTCTTCTGGATTTGGTATGATATGATATGTATCATATAATTTACGATTGAACATAATAATAAGAGAGAGAAACATTTAGGATAAAAGAAGTGCTCGTTACCTATAACAAAGTTATAAAAAATAAGATAAAGAAGAAAGAAAAAAGGAAGAATGAAACGGAATAGTACAGCGACAGCTTTTGTGCGATGAAATTTTCATAGGTGAAAAAGGTGAAAAAGAAAAAAAAAGGAAAAACCTGTCGAATCAATTTGACTATCAATTTGAGGAATGTTGGATATACATTTGTCGCGGTGTATGAACAAAAAATGGTGTCTTTTTTTTTCACGGGAGGTAGACGAATGAACACAGAAGCGCTAAATCGAGGATTTAAACAACGTTCACGGCGGTGAGATAGGCCAGTCATTTACGTGGATTAAAAGCCGTGAGGGAGGCGTCCAGGCACCCCGAGGGATGCGGGAGAGAGAGATGGTTTTGGGGGCTTTGGCCACAATCCGGTCACACGCCTGACCAATTCCTCCAACGCTCGCTCCCAACCGTTGTTGTTCGCAGAAAACTAGAGTGTTAAACCATATCCATTGTTCATTCCTTTAAACCGCTGTGTAATCTGTCGAGCACGAGTCAAAACAATATGCGGGATATCGAGGGGTGGGTGGCTCTCTTCCGCCAGTTCAGTTATATTATTCTTCTTCGAACAATTGTTGAAAAGTTGTCGAAACAAAATCTTGCGAAAGATTTTGGGGGTGTTGTACATGCGTGAATATAAAATTCTGATGTGAAATGTATACGATGTTTGAATTGATAAGGCATATTGGGAATGAATCGATTAAATATTTTTCATTACTGAATAAACATGTTTTTCACATCGATTTTTAATTATAATTAAAAATTGATTATACCCTGAATACGAGTTGTCGTTGAACTTGATTATTGAATTATTTTTTATTAGGATTTTTTAATCCTAATTTTATCTTTAAAACGTTTCTTTTTGTTCATCTCGATATGATTTCCGGTTCCCAATATATCGTCGCGGAAGGATAATTTTTATAGTCTCTCTGTAGTTTCAATAAATAAAATTTTCGCATATTATTTTTATCAATTGAATATTTGAACACGTTTTGAGCTGTACAAAAATTCACAGTTTATGGTGATCGTGTTAATTTCAAGAAAACTCAGGGAAACAGACAGAAAAGGCAAGATCATTTTCAATTTTAACAGACTACTGAATAAAAAATAAATTTCAATCAACGCGAGACAATGAGTTAAGACAACCAAATTCATACTCGACATAAATAAAATTATTTTTTAAAGAACTTAATCTAATGCAACGTATGATAACATATATTTTCATAAATGAAAATATCGATGAATTTAAATTAAAAACAATGAATTTCGAGACACGTGGATGCGAGATAAATCCCTAAAAGAACAGCTAATGCAAAAACAATATGAAGACGCGAAAGAAACGGATAAACCCTTAGAAGAACGCACGGGATAAATGCATAATGGTTGAAGGAACGAAAGTAGGTCGAATCTGAGATCGGAATCGGGAAGCCAGTTTTCGTGTAATCGAACTAAGTGGCGAAGTGGACAAGTTGTGGGGGAGGGAATGAACGAAGCGAGTAACGGAAGTAACTCCCCCCTCTTCCTTTCCCTCCCATTCTGGCAGCCTTATCTGCCAAGGCAGTCGACCGTCTCCCTCACGGTTAGCCCATTATACGTGCAATGCCGGCTAGACGCAATTAAGTGGGCCTCGCACCACACCACCAGATATACCATTCTCCTCGTGTTCCGCGAGGAAGGATACAGGTCGATGGAGGGAAACGTGCCACGAGCAAGGACACGGCCGATATCCTTTACGGTCTGTCTACGTTCTCCCCCTCCTCCTCCTCCCTCGCCCCTATTGCGCGGACCAACCCCTTCTCTCTGTTCCTGACGTGTGAAACTGGGATCCTGGCTGGCCGAATGCGACTACCAGAACCGTCTTTACTCCCCACTCACCCCTCTCTGGTCAATTCCGGCGCCACTGGTAAATTCCTTGATTAGTTTGTACGAGCTTTGCATCGACTTTTGTTTGTTTAACGTCGCTTCGAGTAAGATGGACTCGAGGAAGCTTGAATCAAATTTTTTTGTAAAATAATTCGTGATTCGAAGAGATAATCGTCGAATTTTGTTAATTTAAATTTATTTCGAAAATTTATTTTTATGTCTATTCTTTAGAAAAAGAAAAATGGTGGATATTATTTACAGAGTCTTCAAACGATTTAAATTTATCGTTTATCATAGTTCCGTTTAATTAGATTATCACGATTGCTATAAAGGGGCGTGAAATTTAACACAGCTCGTTTGAGAGAAGCTTCATTGAGTCTGAAAAATGTCTGAAAAAGCGTTGATTGGCATTGTTGGGCCGGTAACAGATTAGTAACAGGGCTATACTACTTAAATCCCGAGCCTTAAAACGCTAAACAAACAAACTCCATCGAATAAGTGGTCGTTCCAGGGCATGGTAATTGCTTTCCTGGAGGATTCGCGGAATGATCGAGATCACAATTTTGGAATAGAGAGTTGTGGTTGCCGTTGCTCAACAAGGTTAGCGGGAGAAACGTTGAATTTCAATTTAAATTCCAATTTTTCGTCGCGAATGGGGAGAAGTTTTGGAAGGGAGAGGGAAACGGACGCGGCGGCGCAAACTTCGCGGTAAATTGATTTAACGCTTGAAAATATTTTCAATGACCACAGGGGTCAGCCGGGGAAATTTTACGGAAATTCTGCTCCCTTCGTATCGAAATACCTTGAAAACTGAAAAGCCGGATTATCACGCGAAATATCAATTATCGGTTATCAAGTTTAACGACCAAGATTAATATAATATTCCTCGGCTACAAATAGATATTGCGTACAGAGACTATTACTGCCAATATCGTAATACCGCATTAAATTTGCAAACCGTGACGGATTACGAAGCTCTAATATTCCTACAAATTCATAGTA